TCCACATATAAGTGAAGACATACAGTACTTGTCTTCCTCGGTCTGACTTATTTCACTTAGCATAATGCCCTCAGTATCAAGGATGGGTGATGATGATGATGATCTTTTATCATTATTATTTTTACTGTTATTATTAAATGGCTAGCAGAGTTTTCTTAGGTTTCTTTTTAGAGAGCAAAACTAAATTTCATTAATTGCTCCTCAAATATTTTACTGTCTTGAGCCTTTATAATAATCAGATCCTACAGACTTATAGACCTTCTATCAAAGGGTAAAAACTTTGAAGATACACAGCACAATATCTTACATGGAAGCATTATAGTGCTCCATCCAGCTTGCCTATCACACCTTGGAAGAAGTAGAAGCTTCTGGTTGGAAATAAATAGCCCTAGCAGACGGTTTGGATTTGTTGTTAATGTTCTTCTTCTTCTTTTCTTAGTTTTTAATATTTTAAGAGATAATATATATTGTCATATAAAATAATTTCTGAAACAATGTTTTAATGCTGAGTCACAATTTAATTTGGTTAGAAATGGGAATTTAAAGTAGAATTACGAATTATTTTAAATATCCCTCTTGGTTCTTGTTTTACTATACCTGGCGAAAGGAAGGGAACAGAGTTTATGCCTCATGAGGTGGAAAGCTCCAAAGCTTGTAGACCCCAAGGAAAAGCCAAAGCTGGCAATCTCCTAAGAACACGCTTGTGTGTTCAGATATTAAAGAGATTTTTTTTAATGAAAATACACTACTATTTGAATAGAATGCAGATGTATCAGTCTTGGTAAACAATTATAAAAATTCTCTCTTTCTTTGTAAGTTAGATTTCCTCATTTAATTTATTACTGGAAGTTAAAGTATAAGAGCTTTGATAAAACAGATAAAAATGGTCCATGTGTATATGCAGAGAAAGAAATTTAATTAAAATTGATGTTTTAGTTTCCTCTACATTTTCCAGTTATTTGATTCAGATACTGTTGCCAGAAAAATCAAACAATTGAAATACCTTTTTTTATTTTTCATTTCTTAACATACTAAAGAATCTGCCAAGATGTTGAAAAGGACTTTAAAAAAGTATGAGTCCAGAACATTGTGTATAGTGTGATCCTATTTTTGTTAAAACAACAACAAAAGGTGAGAAAATGCATAATATAAATGGAAAAAAGTCTTAAATGATGTGTGCCAAATTGGATAGGAGTACTAGGAATTTCCACTTTCTACATCTTCATAGTGCTTGATTTGGTTTTTGTTTGTTTGTTTGTTTTACAATGAATGCATATTACTTTTTTCATTTAAAGAGGCATTTATTCTATCCTCCCCTCATTCAATAGATCACTTATAAATTATTCCAGACAGAGAGGAATCTTTCTTGCTTGTTTTTTCCAGTAGATTTACAGCAGTTTTGTAAATTTCTTTAACTGTGTATTGCAGTGTCTCATAGCTGTTTCTCTGATGCTGCTGTTTTAAACCCAGTTTCTCAGTAGAAAGCTCACCATCATATGCGTCAATACACATGCTTAATAATAATGGCAATTATTTATTCAAGCCATCACTATATGCCAGACCATCTTCTAAACATTTGATGTATATTAACCTGTTTAATCCTTGCAGAAACCCTATTGGGAGTCCACTTTACAAATGAAGAAAGAAGGTAGGGAGAGTTTCAGAAACTTTGCTAACGTGCAGACTGTATGCACATTTACCTCAGGGGCAGAGCACTCCCTGCGCTGGAGCAACGTTGTTAACACTATTTCCCTCTCCATCTTCTCTTCTCAAAGCAAAATTATCCCAGTTCCCATTTCCATTCTTTCATTTAGGAAATGCCACTTGAAGATATCCTACGTTTGTATGTCAGAGGAGGGATACATTGATGGGTAATGCCTAATTTGTTCCCATAAAGGGCTTATAATCCCATTAGAGAAACAGGACACATAGGTTGACCATCGATAAAGACCTGGAAAGTCCAATAATAGCCCATGACTAGGCTCCTATGAGGGTAGATTTTGTGGGAAGTAGGGCTCCACATGCGGAGGATGCGTAGGCTCTGGTTAGGCCAGTGATGAGCAGATTTGCTCCATGGCACAACTCTCAGTCCAGTTTCAGCAAGAAAGATTGGGCAGCCGCTTCTATGTAGCTACTTCCCAAATATGACCAGATATTAACCCTTTAGTGGCTACAAAATAGTGCCATCTTCTCATAATTTATTTCTTTTTTGAATAGAAAAATGCCAGAGGTTTGAGAATATTCATTACTATCGCAAGGTTATTTTTGTTTTGAATGAAAAAGAAAGAAAATGTGACACACAACTTTTTCCCCTGAATTTGTCCTCAGGGATTTAAAAAGTTTGATTACATATGCTTTAAGGGAAAAAGCAAGGAAAATGTAGCACGAAAGCTAAGATAGATGGAGGTGTGCTTGGGGCCAGTGAATAAACTAATGTGAGCAGAGGATTCTAGAGTAGGAGTCAGCGAACTTTTTCTGTATAGAGTGAGATAGTAAATATTTTAGGCTTTTGGGGCCGCATACGGTCTCTGTCGCAAGTATGCCACTCTGCTGTTGTAATTTGAAAGCAGCCATAGAGGATACGGAAAGGAATGTGCGTGGCTATGTTCCAGTAAAACTGTATTTACAGAAACAGGCAGGAGGCCACAGTTTACCAACCTCCCCTAGAGGAGGAAAAAGAAAGAAGGGTAACACCTTTAACACCAGACCGGAAAGCTTTTATCTTCTTTCCTCAGTGCCAGAGGTTTTCAAAGTCTGTCATTTTTATTGCCCTGGAAAACCCAGTTCGTGTGATAACATGCCCCTTTTGTCAGCAGATTCCAGCGAAGCTACCATAAAAATTTGCCGAGAGAGCTAAGCTGTTTCGTCAGGCAGGTGCTGAAAAATAATGCAGCACGTTTTGCTCTCCAGTGCCTTAAGAATTTGCTTTGATGTATCTTAGATCAGTTGGGCTAAGGGGAAATAGTTTGTTCTTAGTATTATGATACTAACAAGGATGGGCTCTATTGTAAGGGAGAGTGGAACAAGCTACTGGATATGCTTAGCAGGGAATATGTACAATTCTATATTATTGTTTAACTGGTTCACAAGTCCCGTGTCTTGTAAATTTGATCATAAACCTGAGAAATATTGGCAAATTCAACTGTCAGGGGATAATTCTACCCAAACACACACAGTCACCCTTTGCAAACTCTCGAGAATCCAAAGTCATTATGTTGCCAGGTTCAGCAAATAAAAATTCGGGGCACCCAGTTAAAATGGCATTTCAGATGAACAACGAAAAAATATTTTAGTATAACTGTGTCCCATTCAATATTTGGGACACAGTTATACTAAAAATTTGTTGTTTATCTGAAATTCAAAGTTAACCAAGCATCCTGTATTTTATCTGGCAATCCTAAAAATGAAGATCGAAGATTAAATAGTTTTTTGCACTATATTGCATCATGATCTCAGTTGATTAGTTATCCTTCATCAAGGTTGTTCTTTTTTTTTTTTATTGTGCATCTAATGTGAGTCTAATGACAGTTGAATCTCATTAATTCCAACCTCGCAGATTTAGAATTTTGATTATTTATGCAAGGGCTATGCTAAAGTGCACTTTATTCTCTTCATGAATTTACTAAACCTATTTGTCACTGAGAGTACAAACAAAACTGAAAGAGAACTATTTATCTCCTTGGGAGATTACAAATAGTGTAATTACAATGTAATCAAAGGCTATCGTTATTTAGACTGTACTTTTCATTTAATAATTGCAGATCATTCTGTCATTCATTAAAGAAAGACAAGACTTGACCAGGCAGCGTCAGGTGCAGCCGTCTCAGTCCCCATGGTGCCATTTGTGTTCCACCTGTCCCCAGTCTGCAGTGTGAGCTTCCAGTCTCTCCCATTTGATTGTGTTTGTTTTCTTCGTCTTGCTTTCTCAAACCTCGCACAATGCCTGCTCCTTCGAAGGCACCCCATAAATGTTTGTTAGTTAAATTAATGAATGAATGCCATCTGCACACCTTAAAGGAATCAAACTGTCTTTGTTGCTAAACATTTTACCTTTTAAACTTAAAAAATTGAACTGGTCTTCCCCTTATGCCAAATTTCAGTACACAAAGGGAGTTTCTGGTAAATTTAGTTTGATTGCACAATGGCCTTTGTGAGGCTAACACTGAAAACATGTTATGGAAATTCCAAAAGTGTTTTATGAGGAGAGAGAGATAGAGAGGTACTTGTAAAGTCAGCATGAGCACCGCTGTGAGCTTCCTTCTGTTCTAGGACTGTGGCTCACAAACTTTATCAGGCTGCTAATGATATTAGCAAGGTGTCGCCTGCACTCTTCCTTATTTGCCCCTATTTGCCATAATCATGTACACACACACACACACACACACGCGCGCACACACTTAAATAAATCCCCACATATCTTCCAAAGAGATGGAAGGGGATTCTTTTGATATGATACCAATTATGGCTGTCACCAATAAATGATACATTAATAACTTAAAACCAATCTGTAGACATTTACCCATTCTATACCACATTTGTATTATTAGAAACCACTACACACAAGCCATCTGAAAGACCCTTGAGAACTATCAGTGAATTCTGGACCACTCTTGAGGGAAATGAAGCATAAGTGGTTTATATATGGAAAGGGTAACACGAGCGTTTCTATTGCCCAGTATTGGTCAACATCTAGCCTTGGAAACATATTCCGATGAGGCTTGTTCTCAGTTTCTGCTGTGGCTTCTTCCTTCTCTCTTTCCTCCAGCAAAGAAAAAGGATTAATAGGTACCAAGAGATGAGGAATTCAGTCTCCATCCTTGTTCCTAATCCTACCCGTGTCTTGGGAGTATTTTTCCTGGCGATCTAGGAGCATTCAGAAGGATGCACGGATGCAGGTCAGCGTTGCAGCAGAGCTGGGCATGCAGTTCCTTGGTGGTCATTTTCTTCAGGAGACTTGAGTCGTGATCTGACTCTGCCCTTTTGTCCCCCTTCTCTCACAGCACTCTGGAGGGATATTACGTGGACGATGCCCTGCAGGGCCAGGGAGTTTACACGTATGAGGACGGGGGCGTTCTCCAGGGCACGTATGTAGACGGAGAGCTGAATGGACCAGCCCAGGAATACGACACAGATGGGAGACTGATCTTCAAGGGGCAATATAAAGACAACATTCGGCATGGCGTGTGCTGGATATATTACCCAGTAAGCCTTGTGACTTCATGGTGCTGGAAAGTAACATGTTTTAAGAAGATGCTTTGACTTTTCACAATAAAGAGTAAAATGTATTCCCTGTGTTAGAAAATGTGAAGCTATGAAACTTGAGGGTCACGGTAGCTAAAGGCAGCAGTTTATGAGGTGTGCTATCTCGCTGCTGTTCCTCATTGACTTAGATTGTTGGTCCTTCCATCTACTACGAATTCCTTTTCAGTGTTGTTTTGAAAAGGAATGATTAATCGTGAATAAAACAAAGTGGGACAAATTGATTTTATTGTACCACTCATAAAGACAAAAATATATTGCTTTTTAAAAATATTCCTTTGGTATATAGAAAGACACGGTGGAATATTTTGTTGTTGCAATTAATCCTATTCTGCTTCTCATACATAAGAACAAATCCAGCAATTTCCCATCTTTTTGGACTTACTACACCATTGTTACTTCATTTTACAGTACCACTCCCTACGTTATAATGTGCTTCGTGGTTTATATCCCTTAAATTAGGGTGATTAAAATTAACTTGCCTTTGAGTATTTGATAGCATTTTATGATATTTCTGTAGTTTATTAGAGCAAAAAGATGTGGCGAAATCCATGGTTGGGAGTTAATGCTCTAATTTTTGTTTGCATTTCAAATATCCCATCTGTTGTTAGTGAATTTCCAGAAAATGTTTCAGAAAATAGACCTGAGAAAATATTTTATCTGATATTTTATGTTGTCCAGAGCTTAAGTCAAAATACATTTTTTCTTGCTCTGAATCTTGTGTTATGATTAAAAAGTATTAACAAAAACAAAGAATCTATTACATGTATAATGAGAAAAGTAGTCCCAGCTAAATCTACTTACATATTATTATTCTTCAAAAATTAGTTAATCTCTAGGAACAGGGCATAAGGAAAAAACATTGTAAAACATTTTTTTAATCATTACTAAAGCATATGTACATCCTCTTGGTAGGCTCTGCAATAGATCAGAAGTCCTTTCGGTTACTGCCCACAAGGCAAGCAGGAAGAGGGGAGTGGTGGAGGTCCCTACCAGTTAGGAAGACAGAAGCTTTCATTGCTTCATGAGTGGGCATGTTGAGCATCTTGCTGCCCAGTGCTGGGGACCCGCCGATATGACAGTGAATGTTTTTTTTTTTTTTAAAGATTGGCACTTGAGCTAACACCTGTTGCCAATCTTTTTTTTTTTCCTTCTTATTCCCAAAACCCCCAGTACATAGTTGTATATTCTAGTTGTGAGTGCCTCTGGTTGTGCCACAGTGAATCTTGAAGTCAGGGAAAGTGGAACTCTCTGCGTGAGGGTGAGTGTAGGAAAGAGGCAAAATATGGATTACCAGATTCTCCCGCTACCTATCATTTTACTTTTGACTATAAGCAAAGTCCCTAGAGGAGATCAAAGATGGACTAAGATGAGTGGATCCACCTCACTCAATATAGTTGCATTTTGAAACCTAAATATGCAGCTACATTTTAGTCATTAGCCTTAATTATCTTATTAAATACCAAGAGAAGACTCTGCCTTAGGAAGGAAGCACTGGGAAGTTATAAGCTTTCAAAATTAACTTGTTTGATAAGTCTTGCTTTATATAAGGTATCTGTTGGCAGTTGAGGGGGCTCATTTCACCCAGCTGCTCTCTGGATTCAAAATCAACCGAGAAATAGACATAGGTGTCAGGGGTCAAGATGTCGGTTTTATAATGGCAGTATTGGATAGGAGATGTGGTGTGGGCTTCTACTCCTTTCCCTCTGAACTGAACAGATGGACCAGCTGCAGACAGAGCAGCTAGAAAGCTGCAGGTTTCCTCTGGGGGAGTAGGGCCTGTCTGGGGCACTTCCCCAAGGAGAGGACAGGAATGGAGAGGGGACAGGTACAGCCTGTGGCACTGCCAGTTTCCAGGACCCAGGAGAGGGTAAGCAAAAATGCAGCAGGACACATGGGAACAGCAGGCTCTCTTCTGTTAGCTGCCACCCAGTAGAGAGATGAAAGTCAGTGGGTGTCAGACCCTGCCTCTTGCTAATCAGATGAATGGTTCCTCCTCTCACCAAGAGGAGCCACTGAGCAGAGGCGAGAAACCAGCAGCTTCTTCCCCAACACTCCCTGACACAGCAGACAAGGAAGTTTTTGTGACATGGGGTCAAAGCAGGAACAAAGACAGGAAAAAATAATGATTCTCCCTACAGTATTTATTAGCTCACTCTAAGGACAGTTTATTTCTTTCGAAATTTTACCTTGGAACAGTGATGTAAAGTTTTTAACTAAAAATTTATAACTCCTTTTGGAAATGAAGAATCTCTGCTTTATCATTCTAACACATAAATTCACTTGTCCCCAAAACCAGAAGTTTAAAGTATTTAGGGGCAAAATGTGAAACCCTAGAAAGACAGAATAAATATCAGTGTTGATGGTTTGTATTAGTTACGACATGTAAGAAGCACAAATGCTCCCACCGCCGTCAGTTCAATAATCGCTGAAAGCCTGAAGGCAGATCTTGCCGAAAGTATCACCCCCATTTATGCTGGGTTATTAAGAATCAACTCAGGGTAGAGAAAGAGCAATAATATATCCCTGATGCACTTTCTATCCATGAAAAAGGCTTCCAAGTATTCTTCTTTCTTGGAAGTGCTGTGATTCATTTTTTAATTTATAACCTTTTTTCTCCAAAGAACCATTAGACTACGATGAACTGGAGAAATCATGTACCTGATGTTATTTTTTCCTGCTGTCTCTCAGCAAGCAGCTTTTGGGATCACTCAGAAGTCATCCTACATCACTGACTTTGAGTAGCTGCTCCTAGAACCTTCGAGCTGGGGAAATAACCAAGCTTTTGGAAGATGTCTTGGCATTAGTATTGTAATATCAAACCCACAAAGGTCTTATATTTTCAAGTTATACCATAAGAACCTTCTGGATGGGGAAAAAAAAGAAAACATCTCTTGCACCCTAGATTAGATTATTTTTTGCGTATGTATTAAATTATTTTTTGGTATCTCAGTTCAATTCAAAACATATTTATGGATCACCTACTGTGTCCTTAGCACTCACCAGGGATTCTCTGTTATTCTATGTTAGCCTCTGCCCTAAAGCATTTAATGACCCTTAGGAATGAAGTAAATGACAGAGCTAAACAGGAAGCACAGCTGGCCCCTCTCCTGGAAGGAGGCAGGAGGGAGCCGTCAATAAAGAAAAGTGAAAAGGAAGAAGTGATGGGAAGGGAGTAGAATTTAGTGGGTCTTTTTCCACTTCTCCTTCTAACTCCAAAAAAAGTGATGGTATTGGATTCTCAGAAAGACAGTGTCGAGAAGTCCTTTGGTTTATCTCTTAGAAAATGCAGACAACTCTCTTTACTCGTGTATACTAAATTAATTCTTAAGTACATTTGAACTAGAGATTTTCTTAATAGACCAGAAATCCAAAATTCAACATTGAGATGTGAGAGCATATGATTAGTAGACTGTCTCGCTACACATCTTCATCACATTTCATACTGGCCCAAAGTAACACTCAGTTATATTTTCTTTAAATGTAAACTTTTACATTTTTAAATTTGTAGCTAATATTTAAATTTGTAACTAATATTACAAATATAACATATTTGTTTCTTAGATAGCAAACCAAAATAGAGTAACTTGTCCGGGATTTTAAAGTGCGCCTCAGCCTCTGACTCTCTAAATCAGGCTTATATGTCCCCTATACATATAACTTGTAGCAGTTTATCTGTATGGGGCTGGATGCGGAGATGTGCATCATGTTTTTCTCACCCGTGTGAAAAGCTCTGAGTTCTGGGGCCGGCCCTGTGGCCAAGTGGTTAAGTTCACACGCTCTGCTTTGGCGGCCCAGGGTTTCGCTGGTTCAGATCCTGGGCGTAGACCTAGCACCACTCATCAAGCCATGCTGAGGTGGTGCCCCACATGCCACAACTAGAAGGACCCACAACTAAAATATAAAATGTACTGGGGGACTTTGGAGAGACGAAGGAAAAATTTAAAAACCTTAAAAAAAAAGCTCTGAATTCTTAAACTTATGATCCATATCAGTGCTATTAACAATGGGAGTGCACAGGAGAAATTTCTTGAACTCGTGTCATACAGATAAATACTATATATAATATTTTCTGGTTTTTGGCTTCTCCCATCAGGATGGAGGCAGCCTTGTAGGAGAAGTAAACGAAGATGGGGAGATGACTGGAGAGAAGATAGCCTATGTGTACCCTGATGAGAGGACTGCTCTTTATGGAAAATTCATTGATGGAGAGATGATAGAAGGAAAACTGGCTACTCTTATGTCCACTGAAGAAGGAAGGCCTCACTTTGAACTGATGCCTGGAAGTAAGTTGAATCTGCTACAGATGGGTTGCTGTATTCCCAAACCAGGTTGTTAGGGCTTATTTGAGAGAAGTTAATTTCTTTGTCTGGTCTACTTTGATGGTGTATTAATCAGCTTTGCTACATAACAGACATCTCAACACCTCAGTGGTTTACAACAGCAAAAACTGGTCTGCTGACCAGATGTGCTCCAGCTGGTCTAGGCTGGGTTAGGCTGGACTTGAGGCTTCTAGTCAGGTTTGAGTCTGCTCTATCTGTCTTAATTCTGGAGTCCAGTCTGAAGGGACAGTAGCAACCTGCGTCAAGATTTCCTCAGGTGGGTCACAGGAGGCTACAGCATGAGCAGACACCTATGATGTCTCTTAAACCCTCAGCTTGAAACTGGCACAGTGTCACTTTCACCCACTTTTTGTTGGTCAAAGCAAGTCACACAGCCAAGCCAAACATCAGTGAGATGGAAATATACACCATGCATTTCAGTGGCAGATGCTGAAAAGCCACATGACAAGGGCATAGCTATGTAATTCTAATACAGGGAAGGAATGAAGCAATGACAGTAGTAATTCAATCAATTTCAAACATTATGTCTCAGAAAAAAACTGAACTACAGTTTCATGATATTCAAGAATCAAATTAGGTAGATCTCCAGGTTGGTACCAATGGTAAAGCTGATTCAGCCTGAGCTCTGATTGGGAAGGATAAATGCATGTTGACATCCCTGCCCTCGTCAGAGCCTAGCATCTTCATGGAGTACACACTCCATACATGAGTGAGCCCATTGGAGTCCATATTAGAAAAAATCCTATTTCCTTTTAGAAGTACAGTATGGCACACTAAATATTTTCTTTTATCATAAAATTATTTATTGGAGGAAACCTGGAAAACATACAAGGAAAAAAAAGTCAAGATTTTATATTTTGAGTGGCACAGGATGAGAAAGCTGTTTGAATTGACTGAGTCCTTGAAAACAATATATGCATGTATTTCCAACCCAAGTTAAGTTATAAGGAGAAAAAAGTAGAAAAGATAATAAATCTAGGCATTAATAGACCTAACTAATATCAGGCTATTTGTGATCTGAAGGAGACTTTCCAAAGGGTAGTTGCCCAAAAACAGGAAATCTAGTACTTTACATTTAGGTCCAACTTGGGTTGTTTTAAATGTCTCCGTTTTTGTTTTTTTAAGTTAAAAATTGAGGCAGTCTAAAAGCAATGTGGGATTCGAGATTGGATCCTGGAACAGAAAAAAAAGACATTAGCGGAAAAACTGGTGAAATCTGAATGAAGTCTAGAGTTTGGTTAAAAGCAGTGTAGCTATGTTGGTTTCTTAAATTTGAGAAATGTAGGAAGTTAACATTAGGAGAAACAGTGAGGGGTACTGGGAACTCTCTGTTCTATCTTTGTAACTTGCCTGTAAACTTAAAATCATTCCAAAATGAAAAGTTTTGTGTGTGTTTTTAAAAGTGGAACAGTAATCTTTGAACTTCAAATTCTAACATCTGTGCTCTTCACTTACGTTCTGAAGGGAGACAGTGTTATAATGTTTAGAAAAGAGGAGACTGGGCCAGGGAAGGATCCCAATTAGTGATGCAAATTTTAAAACTTCAGAAGTGGCAGCATTTATAGTGGCAACAGCCTTGAACTTAAGAGTCACCTAATTTGAGTCTCACCTCCAACACTGACTGTATTATGGTCTTGGGCAAGTTATTTATCCTTGCAGAACCTGTGTCTTCATTATAAAATACGGATATTGGCACCTACTGTAAAACATATAATGAAAGTCATTGTTGCGGTGACATTCTTCTTTGTATAAGTAAGAAACACATTTTGGGAAGTAAAAGTGATCATTCTCAGGGGAATGATTGTTTTCCTTAGAACTCCAGGATACAACTAACAAACACCTTCTTCAAACTAACTTAAGGCAAAAAAAAAAAAAAAAAACAAAAAGGAGGATTTATTGGCAAGCTTCTGGCAGGCCTGCTATTTTAAGGATGTGTTGAACAACTTGGATCTCAAAAGGGTCAGGAACCGTGGCTGATTTGGGTGACTCGGAAGAGCCGGTGCACAGATCTTTACTGTTCTCTCCTCCGCTCCCTCTTCAGTTACAATTATTGATCAGGTCCCACAGGGTCGTGTGGCCATCCGGTCCTGTGGTTGGGGGAGGAGCAGGGAAAGGAATGCGAATATTTCACGTGCTCCAGCCCTGCCCCTCGCTGACCTCTCCCGCCACACTCTCCATATGCTTTTATAACCACAAACTGCTTCCAGTTCTCCACTGACTTCACGCTGATTTTCTCATTCGTCTCCGGCTGGAATTTCTTTTCTCCTCATCTCTTCACCTCTCCACAGAGGAATTCCTTTCCCTGGCTAATTCCTATTCCATCTTGAAGGCTTGGCTCACCTCTTAGAATTAATGTTTGTTGAGTGAATGAACGAATTCTAGTCAAAGGTTATAGTATAAACTATAGAGGAAAGGAGGAGAAGTAAAGGATGCCTTCTGTTTGCCTGGAGCATGGGCCTGTTCAGGGAGTGGAGGAAGCGACAGTATGCGCTGAGGAGAGGGGCATCAGCTCCTTGAAAGCAGGAAGAGATGTTACTGCTATATCTGCACAGTCCCTAACAGAGTGCCTTACATGTAGTCGACAGCTAGTACATTTGCGATGAAAGTTTTAGCCTCACGAAAGGAGATGGAAGTTCATAGGAGAATATCTACACAGGAGAACGTGTATTCCACAGAAAAGTTTGGTTTAAAAGTGTGTTCTTTTTCAAACTAACTTCCTTTAATGGATTGTGTGTTGGTCCGTTACCGGTGTGCTCTCAGATGCGTTCCTCAGCCTCTCCCTGCCCTGCTTTTACTGCAGGGGGCTTCTGCCCCTTGCAGGCTGCACTTTCCAGGCTCTGTGCATCTGGCTTCTGTTGGGTTTGGCCACAGGGAGGCACTGGCCCAGGACACGGAGAAGGAAGGGCACCCTAAGAAGCCCTCCCTCTCTGTGTCCAGCGTGTCTCTAGCAGCGGCCTGTCTCCTGATGCCATCTCCCACCAGCAAGGTCCCCCATGGTTCTGCTTCCCTGAGCTACCCCAGCTCTAGAGCTCCAAGAACATCACCTCTGCCTTTGTCCCTCTGGCTTAGGGTTGTGACTTCTTGCTCTCGCGGCTTCTGGGCTCCTCACTGCCCTGATTGGCTTCTCAGCTCTTCCATTCTCTGTGTAACCAATTCCCTAAATTAAATTCTCTCTCTTTGAAATACTCAAATACTCTGTTTCACAGTTAGACACTGACTGATCTGGATTGTTTTCTCACCTTTCGTTTGAGACATTAATTTGGGTTTTGATTGTATGAAGAAACAGAAAGAGAACCTGGTAACCATTGGTAACCACTAAGGAATTGCTTAATGGAATATTTGTGATGCCTTAGTGCCTAAAATAATTTACTTTGCAGGAGTGAGCCCTCCAGTTCCAAAACTTGTCTCTTCACTTATTAGCTTTCAGAGCATCATATGTCTTCATTGTGCTCTGGAAGGATTCTCTAAGGCTAATCCTTTGCAGAAAGCCAATGTTAATTCTAGGACGGTCGTGTACCTTAGTTTCTGGAATAAATTACTAATTGGCTTCTGAACCGCCTCAATAGAAGTAAGATGACTTTGTTAATGCTTTATCAAAAGCAGTTCTGTTCTCCTTAATTCTGGTGAGGCTGAATATTTATTTTTAGTAAGGGAGACAACTGCCAGGGCTGGGCGGTTGGATTCTACAGGCTGTGTCTAGGATGAAGAAAACCACGAGAAAATTTTAAAACCATTATCCAATCTGATCTGACCAGAGAGATGTCAAAATTTCATGACAAAGCATTTTCTTGATTAAAAATTTTAATTACACAAGCATCTTTTAAACCATTTGAATAAAGAAAATTCAAAAGCAAAAATGGGATTTTAAGAGATGCTTCTGGTGGCTATTCATTAAGATTTGAAAATAAAACTCAAGAGCAAATCTAAAAACTCTCCATTTATATTGAAGAATTTCATTCTAGTTGGTATAACTTGAAGAACATTTTTTGTCTTTTAATTCTTTCTGGTCCCTTAGGTAGAAAGAAATGTTTTAAATGCCCTTCCCTAACTCTGAACGTGGACTGAGGTCTCCATTTGCTTTACAGGTGCCGTGTACCACTTTGATAAGTCGACTTCATCTTGCATCTCTACCAATGCTCTTCTTCCAGATCCTTATGAATCCGAGAGGTAATTTTTTCCTTGTGGTTTTAAGGGCACTGTTTATGTGACGTTAAATAGCCCTAGTGGTGGGAACGAATGCTCTTCTGTGGCTCTCTGCTCAGGCCAAGTTCCTGAGCAGAAAAAAATATTTGTATATTTTGAGGAAGAGTGTTATCATTCTTGTATAGAATCTGGCCCTGTAAGAGAGTTCCTCCATCCATAAAGCACAGAACAGCCCGTGGGTCAGTCCTCAAATGAAAGCTCTACGTAGAGAGCAGTCGGGCCAGGCAGCCAGCCATGCCCTGTCCAGGTGTCCCCTTTCTTCGGGCTCTGGTGCCACCATCTGTGCTGCAGCCACGTGCTGGCCCCTAGAGGAGCATTTCACACTCTTTGAAGCTCTAGCCTAGGCAGGGACCAGAATGCCCCCTTTTCTACTTAGCTCAGCTGAGGGGGTCTGGAACATAAGATAATTTCTTTATTCACTGAGCGGGGACAGGAATGAAACAAAGAAAATATAAGAAACATAAACACATTCCAGTTTATAAATTACAAGTCTCTGATTCTGTAGGCTCACTCCCAGCGTGTCAAGTCCTGTTCCCTTTCATCTAAACTCTCGCTCTTGATTCTCAGTTTGGCTTTCTCTGGTACCCGGCTTGGGATTCTCATTTCCTAGCAACTGGCTTGTTGATGAGGAAGAGTGCCCTATGCAGTTGGTTTTCTCTTTGCCTCACTCTTTGTAAGCATGACTTCCATTCAGTTTCTCTTTTGTTCCTGTCTGAGAATAGGCCTCTTGCCTGGTTGAACTGACAGGGCTGACACCACAACATCACTATGAATGAATGGCCTCTTTCTTGACATGAGGCTGTGGCCCATCTGCAGAGGGAAGGGTTTGGTTTCTTGCCAGCCCCAAAACACAGCAGTACCATAACCATATGTATCCATCTTTTTTTTGTTACTGTCCTTGTCATGATGCTGCATAATGATACCCTTAAACCTGTCAGTGATTTACAAAAGCAAACATTTTATTTTATGCTGATTGGCTGAGGTTCAGCCACTTTTGACTGGGCTCAACTCAGCTCAGCCGGACTAGGCTGGACTCCAGGTTTCAAGTTGAGTTCAGGTCTGTTTCACACGTTTTTATTCCAAGACTCAGGCTAAAGGAGCAACAGCCCCTTGGGGCATCTTCTTCTTGCGGAGATGAATGGAAACCCAAGGAGGCTGGCAGAAACTCGCCATGCTTCTTTACACCTGAGAGGTAGCATGCAGTCACTCCTGCCAATGTTCTAGTAGCAAAGCAGATCATACAGCCAAGCCCAAAGTCAGTCGGGCAGGGATATATCCTCTGCACACTCTGAAGGAAGCACCACGAGGTCACATGGCCAAGTGGCAAGATGTATAATTCTATCACAGGGAGAGAGTAAAGAGTTGGAAGCAATAATTCAGTCTTCCAGTCCATTAAATAAGCATAAGATCTATGTAACAAAAGTTACAGATGATCATTTACACCAGAGTCATTACATCAGAGTGTCAGAAGAACTGAAATTGCTGTCGATGGAGCATGTACTCTTGTCTTAAATTCAATTTCATAATCATGACTGCCGTTTTTTTTTATAAACCAGTGGTTGGCAAACTTTTTCTGTAAAGGGTCACATAGTAAATATTTTCGGCTTTGTAGGTCTCTATTGCAACTACTCAACTCTGCCTTTGTAATGCTAATGCAGTAATAGACAATACCAAACAAATAGGTGTGGCAGTGTTCCAATAAAGCTTTATTTACAAAAATGAGCAGCAGCCAGATTTGGCCCTCCAGCTGTAGTTAGCTGACCCATTATAAACTCCTTTGTTGGAAAGTGCTTATGGGATATATTTTATTAACTGTTTGTCACTCTTTCATGTAAGAGATTAATCTTGGGGCTTAATTAAAACCGTCTTTTCCTCCTATTTGGCACTGATAAACTTGGGTATAGCTTTAGCTCTGGAAAGTATTTTACTTGTCCAGTAAGACAGTGAAATTGTCATTAACTAAAAACATAACATTTTTTTTAAAAACCTTATCTCAAGCACTGAGTTACTTTGTGAATATAAAATAATAACCCTCTTGTTAGAGAACACTTTTAAACACCACTCTAAAGGAGACATTAAATACGAGTTCTTCAATTTCGAATGCCAAAATCTTGTGGTTTAACTTTTTTTTCTTCCTTCCTCGTTGGATTATTATGTACTAACATTTTGGATTCAGTAGCCACAATGATATTTTGGTGGTTGACATAAAGAGTGACATGTCAGACTAAAAAAAATTATTATTTGACCCTTTTTTCTGTTTAGGGTTTATGTTGCTGAATCTCTCATCTCCAGTGCTGGAGAAGGACTGTTTTCAAAGGTAGCAGTGGGACCTAATACTGTTATGTCTTTTTATAATGGAGTCCGAATTACACACCAAGAGGTGAGTAGAGTCAAAGTGGAAAATCAACCGGATTGGTTAAAGGGCTTTGTTTTAAACACTCTTAATTTTCTCATTAGTCCCTTTACTTTAATATTCACTAGAAATATCATGGATCAAACAGCTAGGTTTTTGGTAAAATTGCTTGGACATGTCTTATAACAGGCTTTGGACTGCTGTAGCAAAAGTATTGTAGACAGGGTGGCTTATAAACAACAAAAATTTACTCACAATTCTACAGGCGGGGAAGACCATGATTAAGGTGTCAGCAGATCTGGTGTCTGGTGAAGCCCACTTCCTGGTTCATAGACAACGCTCTTTTCACTGCAACCTCACATGGCAAGAAGGATGACAGAGCTCTCTGGGGCCTCTGTTATAAGGGCACTAATCCCATTCATGAGGGCTCTGCATGCCCTCATGACCAAGCACCTCCCAGAGGCCCCACTTCCAACTACCATGACACTGGGGATGAGGTTTCAACATGTCAATTTTGGGGAGACACAGACATTCAGTCTATAGCAGATATTTTCCTCCTTATGTGGAGCCTTAATATGATTTTTTTTTTTAAGTTCCACAGCTATTTTATAGAAAGTGGGATTGTGCTGTCAATGACACAGTAGTTGCTTTGTAATGGACTACACCTAGTGTCTGAAAAATTGAGATCCAATTGGGCTGTCCGTAATTAATTTATGATCTTGGGCAGGGTGCTTTATAGGAAGGCGCCCTAGCTCTGTTTGTGCAAAAGCTGTACAGTAGTCTACATCTTGCCAGGAAATGTTCTATTGCCAAAAAAATTAAAAATAAAAAGTTAGAGTTGAATCACCTCTTGTCTTTAAGACACAATCTTTGATACGTTTCCCAGATTTCATGTGTTTTGTTTTTGTTTCTTCGCTTCACAGTTAACTTCCTTAAGTGTCTGCTTAATGGCAAAAAGTTCGATGCTCTGAGCACAGCGAGAGCTCTCTATCCTGGTCTCATTGCATCAAGAGCATGGGACTGAAGCTTATCGCTCATATTCCACCTTCATGTCTTCACTTTTTTACTTATTCCTGTAGAATAATAAAGAGGCAAATGCCATGAAATAATCGAGTTATTGCACATTCAGAGCACTTTGCACAGGCAAAGATGTCAGTGCACCCAAACTGAGGTGTGGTCTGGCACACAGTGTCCCCTTGTGATGGCCAGACCTCTGTATCAACAGTCCAGAAAGTCCAAGGAATTCAGCGTATGAAAGGTGGCTCAGGACATTGACATATAGTTTATTTGTTCAAACATTTTACAGATAAGGAAACTGAAGCCCAGAGAGGTTAAGCCATTTGCCCAAGGCCACAAATAACTAGCAGAGTTCAAGCAGGTTCCAAATAGCAGAATCTGGCTCTGTGCTGAAACTCACTATGTTGTACTGTGTAAATGAGTGAGACACCCTCCTTGCCCTCATGAAATTTAGATTCTGTTGGGGAGATAAGACAAATACACAACTAGTGACAACATAAGGTAGATGGTACCTAGGGCTGTTTATCTGTGTCCCATGACAGGTCTGGGATATTAAGATCCATGAGGATTTTTTTCCGCTTACATCACTGCTGTATCCCCTGCACCTAGAACAGTGCCTGGCATGTCATAGCTTTCAGTGAATATCTGTTGAGTGAATATCAGATGCAAATAAAAGCATAACTGTAATTTAGAAATGAGAGAGATGGTATATCTCTGAGAGTCAATAGTTTTGTATCAATATTTGATCCTATTTACTCCAAAAGGCTGTTCTGGTATCGACAGATCCTGGGGTGTGTTGGCTGGGAGTGGATTGGAAAGGGGGAAGCCTGTTGGTTGTGCTGCAGATAGGGAGTCCTGTTGTAGATAAGAAAGCGTATAGGTAATCAGTGATGTTATCTGCTGGTCACGTTGGTTGCCCTCCTGTAGCAAAGGTGTAGGAATTTCCTAGAGCACAGTGTTTTGCATTCCTTTATTTCTTGTTCCATTTGATGTTATTACTTTTGTTTTTCTTTTGCCTCCTCCTTCTCACTACAGGGGTTAAAGGGATTTAGGGGCTGATCAAAGAAAAAGATATGACCACAAGAGGCAGCGGCTCACAACAGGCTTTATGGGTGTTGGGTAGCGCTTGGACAGTGTTGTATGAGAGGGGATGTCCTCCCAGCATTAGACCATTCAGAGGCTTATGGCTCAAGGGCCACCATCCAGAGAGGAGGAGGGCAGGGAACTCCTGGGAAAGAGAGGGATCAGAGAGGGGGCTTACATGTCTAGGTGACGTGCAGCATGGTGAGGAGTCTGGGACAGAGAGCTCCAAGCAACAGCTATAGTCTGGGGTCTTTATGGTCCTGGGTTTATCTTATCTATTGCTAGCAGACGTGGTGTGAGGTTTTGTGAGGTCTGCCATGAAACCAGACTCTAAATGGCTAAAGCTCTGCCTTGTTTGTTATTTAAAAAGCAATTGGATGAGTAAAAATTTGAGTTTGGTGCTGTGGGCTTTTGAGGTACCAGGTCTCAGTGTGCAGTGAAGAAATAAACAACCTAGGAGCCAATACATAGAAGCCATCTTTGGCTCATTTATATAACACTCACCTACTTTTAATTCAAGGTATCTGGTTATATTTCTGTATGTCTTTGTAAGGGACTTGAAATCCTTTTTTTCATATAAGATGGGGAAAATCAAGAAATAGTATGTTGAGCTGCCTGATGCTGCCCACAGATGCCTTTTGTCCCATCAGTGTGCAGAGGGATGCCTTAGGCTCTTTTCACGTGTGTGGCACTCAAACCATGAAGTTTAGGGATAAAGGAGTTAATATCCCTGATGTCCTTTGGACTCTTGGGAGACGCGTCGTCTCTAAGGTCCACTTTCTTGTTTTCCACAGGTTGACAGCAGGGACTGGGCCCTGAATGGGAACACTCTCTCCCTCGATGAAGAAACGGTCATTGATGTGCCTGAGCCCTTCAACCACGTATCCAAGTACTGTGCCTCCTTGGGACACAAGGCAAATCACTCCTTCACTCCAAACTGCATCTACGATATGTAAGTGTCATACCGAGCCGCTGGGCAGATCTCTGCCTCAGGGCCCTGAGACCGAGGAGAAGTCCCCTCCCTCAGAATGACCCAGGTCCTCTGCGGGGGGCCTCTCGGTTGTGACTTGAAATTCAGAATCTAAACAGCCCCACTCTGGCCCTGGCAGGCTAGGACGTGGAAAAGTGCTTCAAAGAGTAGAAATGTTATAGAAACACTATACTTAGTGGTGGCTGTTTTATTGCAGCTTTTTGTTGTTCAATTGCCTCATTCTGGAAAGTTAAGGATAGTGTTATTTGAAATAATAGTAAAAATTGAACTTACTCTGCACAATGGAGATTAGGGAACCCTCTGATGATATGAAAGGAAGGAGGAAAATAAAATGCTAAGTCTAGAGCATGAGGTCTTAGTGTGGGAGAAGACCTGCAAAATCAACGAGTCCCTGTTATTTGACAATAAAGAGGAATGAAATACTGACATTCCACAACATGGATGAGCCTTGAAAATTGGACTAAGTGCAAGAAGCTAGTCACCAAAGAACACACAATGTATGATTCCGTTTATATGAACTGTCTGCTATAGTTAAATTCATGCAGACAGAATGTAGATCAGTGGTTGCCTAGAGCTAGGGGGAGTGGGGTAAATGGGGGTTGATGGTTAATGAATATGGGGTTTCTTTTGAAGGTGACAGAAGTTTATAAAATCAGATAGTGGTGATGGTTGCACAACTGAAAACCACTGAATTGCACCCTTAAATTGGATGAATTTTATGATATGTGAATTATATCTCAGCAAAGCTGCTATTTTTTAAAAAATCAAATAATCTTGCCACTCTCTTGGGGTTTGGGCCTCTCCTTACAAGTGCTCATTGAATGTCTTTTTGGAAATTTCCATTGAATAGGAGCTTACTGTTATCCACAAAGGTGGCTATCTGGACAGACTGAAATAGATATTATGGAATTAGCTTTTGGACTCTGATGATTAGAAAGTTCTTTCTATTGAGCCCAAATGGGTTTCCTTGTAACATCCAGCCCTTGGCCCTACTTATCTCCCTTTATTTCTTGTGCACTGTGTCAATCTCTCTTCCACGGAGGAGCCTTACAAATATTTTAGTAGTTTTCATGTGACCCCTAAATTTTCTCTTCCCGTAGTCAAGCATCCCCAACTATTCCTTAAAGGATACAGGTGGGATTCTTTATACTATCGGCATTGCTCTCCTTAGCTCAGCCTGAGAATGCTAGTTCTTCCTGGGAGCCTGAGAGCTGTGTGCAACCTCTTCTGCTCAGCTATAGCTCGCAGTCCCTCAGTCCTCTAGGGTGTTAACATAAGCAGGACCAGATCATGTGCATTTAGTCTGTAGGAAAACTGCCAGGATTTGAATGTCCCTTCTTGCATCCCTGAGATGGCTTAAAAAATTGTTCTGGCAGTGACTTGCTCTCCTTGGCAGCCAATAGCAAGTACTGAAGCTACAACTTCTGTTTAAAGGGCGGGTAGAAATGGCAAGGGACATGTGTCATGTGAAATGAAACTGACACTGTTATTAATTCCATGGCTTTCGTGGCCAGTGTGAATGAGGCCAAAGCATAGTTCCAAGCTGCAAACAGCTTAAAAACAACACTTTAAAGCAGCGGTAACTAACAATAATAAATGCTACATAGACTATTCTTTTAAAACAAATGAGTTCTGTGATTTCATTGCAAGGATGTGATTTTTCTCACCAAAAAGAAGAGAGCACAGGAGACAAGAGAAGGAACCAATTGTGCAAAATCAAGTCCTTGTACTCTTCAGGGTTTTTTCCCCAAGCCCAATGTGACCAATTAGTTATTTGGGGTAATGGGAAGACTACCTGAATAATAATCAAATATAAAATTTAGATACCAATTCATGGTATTCGTTTGTTCCTAAAATCATTGGTGTTGTTATGCACACTTTCAAATAAACAAAACAACACTTCTGCAAGCTGTTTTAACTATAGTACAAAATGCCAAATGGACAAATAGACAAGAGTTACTTTCCCAGCTGTAAATATAGGTGACATGTTGACAAGGGTCCCAAACCATTTGGTGCAGAGGTTTGGTTTGACAGCTGATCGTGCGGTTAACATTTGCTGAGCTCTTACTCCAGGTCACTGCTGTGCTTCTCATGCATTATCTTATTCAGTTTTCCCAGTAACTCCGTGAGGCAGCGAGTCTGACTCTCCCAGGTCACAGACAGGAAGCGCAGGTCTCTCAGTCAAAGGGCTCTTCACCGGGTACCTTAGTGCCAGCTTGAAGAATCAGCCCTGAAATGGAGTTCTTTCTTTTCAGGCTGCCCATCTTCTGCTCTCTGAAAATAATGAGAATGAGCAGGAAAATGAAAATACGAGAGGATTATAAGAGAAGTCTTAGGCTTCTCACAGGATTTTTTCAGTGTCCCAGAAAATGAACGAGAGCTCCATTTCAGGAGAATTAATTTTAATGAAATATTTTAATTTAGAGACAAAGAATTGTGATTTTAGTAAGGAATTCCCAAATGCCTGGTCCAGGGATCTCCTCTGTTTTGGAGGACAGTGTGAGAATTCTGTGCACACGCATGCGCGCGCACATACACACACGTCATAACTAATATTAGTTGAGTCCTCACTTTGTGCCAGGCACTGTATGAAGTGCTTTATATATGTGATCCTATTTTGTCACCACAAAGACTCTTGTAGGATAAAGATTACTAGTACTATGATTTTGCAGATGGGGAAGGTGAGATTCTGACATACGGAGGTGAGTTTTCCAAGAGGAGGCAGTAAGAATGTCTGGACTCAGGACTCATACCAGTCTTCTGACCCCAAGTCAAGTGTACTTTCCAGGAAACATGACACCCAGTAAGGTGGACATGGAGGCCCCCTTGGAGTGAGGGAAAAGTTGTTCCTTTTTCCCCTACATAAAAGATGCCCCTAAACTGCAGAAATACTCCTTTCTCACCACCGGTGGAGGGAACCAGCTACATACTAACCAGCATACCCCACATGCCAATCTGACTTAGGGCCTGGAAACTTCTCCTTTGGTGTCTCGGTGCCCTTTGTTCAAAATGTGACTATAAATGACTGAGATTGACCAGGAGCATATAAAAATAAAGCTAAGTTCTTTCTGGCCATGCCTTGCGTCTTGGGATTCGGCAGCTGTTAGGGGAACCACGTCTATTACTTACTTATTCCCTGAATAGCTTAGCTCCTGCAGGGAGCTGTGCCGGTGAAGTGGGTTGGGAGCCTTTGGCAGAGGAACACAGTCATAGCGTTAGCCAGCCTCTTGTTCCGAGAGGAGTTGTTACATGATGAGATGCTGCTCCCTTCACAGAAGGCATCACAGGGAAATATTAAAGAATCAGGTGGGTAGAGAGGTCTGGACTTCTCTCTTAGAAAGAAATCTTCGTCTACTTTTATGCTAGAAAATAATACTTCCTCTATACACATAGAGTGGAATACAGAGTTTTCGCTTTTGAAAATCCACAGGGCTATTTCTTAGAACTCCAAAAGTGCTCTGGAAAAGCCTTTCGCCACCTGAGGTCCAGCCAGGTAATCTGATGCTACAGACCAGGTGAGCTGAAATGCTGATAGGCTGCTCAGGATCCTATTTCTCATTAAGGGTAGATTGTTGTTGACCACGATCGTTGGTTTATAAATACAGAGTGCCAGATATGCTCAAAAAGGAAGATAGAACAGTGCTTTTAAAACTTTAATGTGCATATGAACCACCTTGGGGTGTTGTTAAAATGCAGATTCCAATTCAGCAGGTCTGAGTGGGGCTGAGATTCTCCACATCACTAGCACGCTCCCAGGTGAAGTGGATGCTGGCTGATCTGTGCACCACACCGTGAGGACCTCTCAGTGGTGTCCAGGGAGGAGCACATGGGTGATTCCTGCATCAGCACCCCCTAGCCTTTGCTTCTAACCTCCTGGTCTGGCCCGGGATTGACTGTTCGCCTCTTGATGTCTAGGTTTGTCCACCCCCGTTTTGGGCCCATCAAATGCATCCGCACCCTGCAAGCTGTGGAGGCCGATGAGGAGCTCACCGTTGCCTATGGCTATGACCACAGCCCCCCAGGGAAGAGTGGGCCTGAAGCTCCTGAGTGGTACCAGGTGGAGCTGAAGGCCTTCCAGGCCACCCAGCAGAAGTGAAAGGCCTGGCTCTGGGCTTCAGAGACCTGGAATAGAAACTTGGATCTATGCACTACGTTTATCTGACAACGGGACAACCAGGGACTGCTCATGCTGTGACATCACATCCTCTCACTCTGCGTTAGCAACGACTTTCTCGCATACTAACTAGGTTTGACTGTATTACTCATACCAGATTTAAAATTAGCTAGCCTTGCAACAAAGTCCTACTGAGAGGTATTGTCGAGCACTTGACATAAGACAGCGTGATGTTCTTGGGTGGTTCAAGTCTAAATCTGTACCACATCCAGAGATGCCAAATGATTAGACTGAAAAAGGGAAAGGGGTTTTTTTCAGTCGTTTTTAGTCAGTGGTTTTTCCTTGATTTTTTTCCTATGGCCGATGCAAACTGTGTTCTCACACTTGCATCCGTGCCGTGTGGAGGCTGGAGAATTACTACATTTTTATTCTCTAAATGTAGTATAATTTGCCTTTTAACCTTTGATCTGTATCTTGCAATAGAATGGCTTTGTTTTTTCCCTAGCAAACAGAATCCCATTTTTTGAGTCATTTCACCCCTCTGTCCTATTCTCTTAGATATCTTTCACAAGAGAAAACTTCCAAATGGATTTTGTGTCTGTGCCAGTGTGTAGGTCTCTCTGGCTCTTTCTCTCTCATTGTTTCATTATTATGTCCTAATATAAAGATCTGGCTCATAGTGCCGGGGTATTATTATAGAATTATTATTCTCGCATGTAAACAAAGATATCTTTGCTTTAAGATGTGAGAAGAAATGAATTTACTTTGTTTGCATTAAGTTATGGAAGAGTTGTAATATATACTTTAAGAAAGAAGAGAAGGAAATTAGTATTTCTAAGCAGTAACTGTGGCAATTTTGCAATATCTTTAATAGTGCTAGTAATTTTTTCTCCTTGGGTACACATTAAATGTACATAACATAGAGCAGTCTGGCTTGTGGCCCAGTGCATTGAATTCAAAAGTCAAATAGCAAACTTGAATTCTAACACAGAATTCAAACGTTGATTTGTTTTAATTGCTACTATTAAGAGAGACAAACTGGTCACTAGGTACAAATCAAACCTTAACGCTAAAACTCTTCATCGTTGTAATTTTAAAACACTTACCTGCTTCAAGGCATTGTGAATTAAGAATAACACCTGTATAGTTTAAAAGCAACTATATCAATAGCATTTCAGCCATTTTGCAAGCCATATGTGTAATCACAACTGCAGAAATAAGGAGAAAAACCCTGTTTTTTAGTTTAGCTAATTAGGTATGTAACATAACTGGGATTGCTCTGAATGAATTCTGAGAGTTTTGGGTTTTTGTAAGTGTCCTCACCACATGCCATAGCTGTGTCTTCTTTTGATGCCTCAACGAAGCAGCTGGGAGGTCTGGAGAGCAGCAGTTGCTCCGACCCGCAACTGTCAATGGTGGCACCTGTTGCCTGAGCCAGTTTGGTCTTGAAAGCTAAAGCCTTCCAAGCTGTAGCCAATAGCGAGCTCTGGCTGAGTAGAGAAGGCTTGCCGGGAGTGGGTGAAGAGTAAAGAAACAGACAGAAGGAAGTCTGCTATTTCTTGTCAGTTACACATTGCTCTTAGGAAGAATTTAACAGAAGTGCTTGGTCCAGGGCTGCTCACAACTTGCGTTTCAGGCAGCCCCTGGGCGTGGGATTCAGCCCTCAAGTCAGTGACAGAAGCAGCCCTTCCCTCTTTACAAGGCGAGGCTTCCAGCAGCTCCCCTCTGTCCAGCAGAGCCGAGCACGCTGCCCGTGCACGCGATGCATGTGGTGCAACTAGGTGGCAGTGGTTTCAGGGCAAAAAGCTGATGGTTCACACATGAGAAGTTGTCAGGGTTGCCAGAAAGATCTCCCACAAAGGGAACTGAATAGAGTTTTAGATTAAAAGGCACCAGGACAGGATTGCTTCTATTCTGTAGAAAGAGACCGTTCTGTAAACTGTGACAGATGGACAGAGTCCTGGGACTTGTCTTCTGATAGGTGCTTTAATTCAAATGCTCCCAAAGTGAGTGACTGTCTTCAGGAGAAAGATGGCTTTGATTAACCCCAGTCCGTGGGGTGGTGGAACCAGGTCAGGGAGTGAGGTCAGGGAAGGGATGGCGCAGATCGCACTCCGGTACAGCTCCGCTTTGAATGATTTCCATTCTGAGGGCGATATTGCCCTGGTGGAGGCTGCAGTGGGCTATAATTTCTGTCGTAATAGGCTACTCTGATTACCCCATTCAAATGGAATTTTTTTAAGAGTCCTAAGTAGTGGTTAACCAACTAATCCATTTTTCAATTAGATGTTGAATGATAACTCTGAGTTTAAAACCCAGCATCGTGTCTGTGACCTTCAGACAAGTCAGAGGAAACAATACACCCAAGTCGAGCATCTCTTTCTCCCTCCTCTGTTCCTATGTCTTCTGGCTCTTCTTTCTCCTGCCCTCTCTCGTTCCTCGTTCTCTCTTGTCTGTGAGAACACCTGGGCGCCTGTATGTAACAATACCCCCAGCTGATCTCTCCAGCTCAGTTACTGTCTCTCCCTCCGTGATGGGAGCCCCTCTCCTCTCTAGCTAGTCCCTCAGGCTGTGTGTGGCCTTCGGACCCTCTGTGTGTACCTCTCTCCACTAATCCTGTGTCCGTGTCTGGCTCCGTCGCTCCTGCTTCCCCACCCCTCCAACCCCCACCCCCCCCACGCACACACACTTCCAAATGTAAGGCTTCGTCACAGGGTGGAATCAGAGGGGAGCTTGAGACTCACTGTGTTCCGTAGGTAGGTAAAGAAGTCAAGGGGGTTGAGGTTCTGTAAGGAATTAACTGGTAAGGAAGTAAGGGTTTGTTCCTTCTTTGAGCCAAAGTCTTGGGGGGAAACCTCGGGATGTATTTTTCTACTGAGTCTTTACATCCACTGTGGTAGGAAATATGTCAGGAAGCTGCTGAAGCTGGTAGTCTCATCAGCATCATAATCATGGCAGAAATCTGGAAGATTCCATGTGGTGGGGAAGAAAGAGAGAACTATGCTCTCCCCCAAAAATGGCGGGCGCCTGTGAGTGGGCATGATGCCATGGTCTGGAGGAGATTCACTCAGAGCTGTCTCAGTCCAACTCCTGCATGACTAGATCTTTCCTTAGCAGCTTTTCTATGACAAATATTATCTTGTGTTAGACTTAGAAATAGGAACTAATCTGTAGGAGTATGTCCCCAAATGGACATTTGGATGGACTAACAAAACAGCTGCAAGGACTGAATTTCTGACACAAAAGAATGATGAGATTAAAAGCAACAGGCGAGGAAGGCTTGAGTTTTGTAGAACCTATTCTTACTTTAACCTGCTTCATCCCTGGTCTACATGAGAAACGAGGAAGGAAATGCGTTTTTCAAGACCTCTTTGAACCTGTCTAGGGCCATAGTTAAAACTTATTTGTCCCCTGCGGGTTCTTCACACTTGAAAAACTATTTCCTTGTCACCAACAACCTGAAGGTGGAGGCCAAGAGTAACCATTTGCAGCATGTAATCGTAACTATTCAAATTGCAGCAACTGTGAACAGTGAATTAAAGGGTGGTCTTCTCAGTGAGACAGTATGAGGCACTTTAGTAACTCTCCTTTCATAAATAAAATCGTAAATCACTCACTGTCAAATACATTTAAGATCTCCCAAGAGGGTAGGGTTTTCTGATTTACTTTGTTTTAAAACGGTTGCCTCAAGTTTCTGTCTTCAGAGTAATGATGTAGAGTCCAGACATCTTTTGTTTTAGCAAAACAAGCAAAACTATGTTGCAAGACCGGTAGTTTGTATGTTTATTTGCCACAGATCAAAGGTTCACAAACTATATTAACTTTATGTCTACTTGAGGTACCTTGATAGATTGTTTTTTCTTTGATCTTTCCCTTCAGGAATTTGGAGCCTCGGGGTCACTTTTTATTTTAAAAATCCTAAATTTTAATAGTTTTATTTTGCCAAATGTGTGCATACCTATTCAAAGCAATGAAACTATTTCAAGCCATACAACCACAGGGGTCTAAACCCTTTTCACAAATTTTAATGTGTTTGTATGTACATAGATGTTTGTATGAAATATTTTCACGGTAGAATGAATATATTTAAATGAAGTTGAATTATTCCAGTGCTATTTAAACAAATTACAAAATTTTTGGTGAGAATTATCTGAGTCTATTGAGATACAATGCAGATCAATTTTGATTTTTTAAAAACCAAAAGCCTACAAATAACTCTGACTCATGGCAACTTCCCTGCGTGGTTGCATCTGACGTGGAGAGAGCTGTAGGTTTCCCCAGTGCCTCAGCCGCTTCCTGGTGTAAGTTAGGTGCTCGTGGAGGCTTGTCCACCTTTCAGTGACATCGCTCCAGGCCTGGGAGGGCCTGGGAGTGAATCAGAGGCATTAGAGGCACCGGTGCAGTTATCCGGAGCACAATTTCTTTGCAGGGCAGCAGAATCAGAAGCCAGACATGGCCGTGGGAACCTCGGAACTGGGTTTTCTGGCCACCATCAACCGCCACCCTTACTGCCTAGTCACACATGTCAGGGAGGCTGCCCTCAGTGGAGTTGGGGTGCAGACCCCAGGGTGGGACTTCACGGTTTTGCCAGCAGTCCCTGCCTCCTGACCTCCACCTCGCAGAGAGGAAGGAGCAGGGAGCAGCTGGCAAGGGGCCCATTTCTCAGCACAGTACATTTCCTGTCTCGGCTCTGGGAGACTATGCACCTAAGCACCAAACTTCCAGCCAGAGAGAGACGTCCTCGGATAACGCAAATCCTTGCTTCCTCTGTCTGTGACTTTACACACCGTGTTAGAAGTTGTTTTAATATCAAGACCAATCACATCCCTAGGACATACCTCCCAACTCTCCTGACTCTTACGTTATTAGAACACTCCTTCATAATGATATTCAACTTGAGTGGGTTTTTTTTTTTCCTGCTTTGGTCCTGGATATAATGAAACGATAAATATCATGACAAATTTTCACTGTGTATACTAGCAATATGTCCACACATGCCAATGTATCTTAACATATCGACTTGGCTAAATTTTGGGTTACTATAATTAATCTCGATTCATGTATTGAGAAACTACAGGGACTACATAATGCCTCCTTATCATAGTAGAAATTAGGTTCATGGTTCTGAGCTCCCTACTTCAAAAGGTTTTCCTCCTGGGTTTTCTATGTTCTTTTTCTATCCTGAAATGCATTCATTAGGTTGTGAGGTATGTTTAAGGATCGGAAGCCAGGGGTACACTTTCAGCATGTATTGCAACCAAAAGTTAACCCCATCACAGTTAACGAGCATCTTTGATTGGTCTTTTGTGGAATTTGAACTAAATCTATGAGCCTTATTCAATATCTATAATTCTATGATTTTTTTAAATTATGGGAAATTAATGAAAGATGTTTACATGAATAATGTTTGCCCTTACTGTGTTATGAATGAGTTTTTTGTAGTGTGTCTGGGTGCATGTGCAAGAGAGTTGGAAAAATGTTTCTGAAACAAAACTTGACAAATATTTGTAATGAAAAGTAAATTTAAAGATTGCTATAATTGCGCTATAGAAACAATGCAAGTATTAAACAAAATATACAATCATCTGTCATTGTCTTCCTTTGGTTGTCAAGGGCAGAAAGGCAGTAACGTTTCTCTTATGGTACGCCTACCTGTATATTTAAATGACAAAGCAAACTTTACATTTTAAGTTGTTTAAAAATGTGATTAACTATTTACCACTTTCAATACATGACAGTAAGACCTGAGGAGGGGTGTAGAAAGATTAGAAGCTTGCTGTATATTTGATGTGACTCCACATACACCCAAGAATCCAGAAAAATTAGCAACATCAACCAAAAATGTCTGATTGCCTATATCAATATTCAGTGTATTGAATGCAAATAAGATGATCAGGCGAAATATCTGAAGGATGGGAAACTTCAGCTCATGGTTTAGAGGAATTCTAGGAACTTTGTTAGATGTTAGAGATTTTGGTGAACAGAGGAACCCAGGGTCACCTTATTCTTGCCCAAATCACGTCGACATTCCCACACTCTCCCCTGCAACATTCCCAAAGGACGAAAGCCAATGACACGGGGTAAAAATAGCCTCGCTATTAGCTGGGCCTTCTGCCCAGGACCCCAAGGCTCTAGTAAGTTGGGCTGTGCTATGTGAGGAACAGTGAGGCGTCAAACTGAAGCAAGCCATGAGATCTCCTGCTTTACTCAACTTCCCTTGGTTGCTTGATCCCAGATCTTATCACACTTCTTCCACTGAAGGAAGGAAATGGAAACCAGTGAGATGACGAAGTCCAAACTGGTGCTGGATCAGCTTTACCACTTGGATGAAGATACATCCAAACGCTGGATCTTTAAGGCAGAATTTTACCCACTGACATCCAATTTATTTTATTTTATTTTTTTGGTGAGGAAGATTGGCCCTGAGCTAACATCTATGCCAATCTTTCTCTATTTTGTACATGGAATGCTGCCACAGCATGGCTTGATGAGTGGTGTGTAGATACTGCGCCCGGGATCCAAACCCACAAATCCTGGGCTGCCGAAGCAGAGCACACAAACTTAACCACTATGCCACTGGGCTGGCCCCAACACCCAATATTAATATTCTTCCTCCCTGTGGGGGAGACGGGTGTGAGATTGAAATTTTAATACAAACTGGTGTAAATCTAAGAAGTTAAACTCTCAAAAGTGAAGGATCAGGAAACTTCTCCTGAGTTAAGATTGGTGGACTCAAGGATTGTAGCATAAGTTAATGTGAGGAAGATTGAAACCAAGTTACTTTAGTCTCAGTAATCGTCACACATATACTTCTTATAAGATATCTGCCTTTATATTTTAATGTTTCAGACTGCAGCCTCCTAGTTCACAGCGGACTTGAAATTACTTCAGCAGTCAAGTCTAGAATTAGATAACAGTCATTCAGGAGGATTTTATGCTGTCGTAGACGTTTAGTTTCAACTCAGCATCTGACTGATTTGGGGTTGTTCAATAAGAAAGTTCTGCCCCAAAAGTATTCTAGAAAACAACTGTTGCCTTTCACATAAAAAGTTAAAGCTAACTTCTCTGCAACATATTGGTATGTGTTTTTCTTAAAGTTTTGTTTCTTTGTGAAAACCAAAGCCAAAGTTTTGAATTTAGAACTTCGCTTCTTGTAGTGTACTCAGAAAAAATTTAATGAATCTATCTAGATTGCTACCAAATTTTTACTTCTGCAAGTATCAGAATGCTTTCAGCTTCAAGAAACATAAAAACACAACTCAATACAGCTTAAACAATAAAAAAGATTTACTCTCTCACATAATAAGTGTTGAGTGACCAAAGAGTTGGTTAATTCAGCAACTCAACCAGGTTCTTTCTGTCTTTCTGTTCTGCAATTCTCAGCTTGTCAGGTTTGCCCTCAGGGGCTGGCTCACCTCACAGTTACGAAACAGCTGCCGCAATTCCAGACATCACAGCCAGATTTGGCAGCATCCAGTCGGTGAAAAGGAAAGTCTCTTTTGTGGTCTCTACCACTGAGGAAACCTAGACCAATCACTTGCAAGGGCCACGGGGACACCATGATGATCTGAGGGAAGCATATAGCTGTGTGGAGAAGGGTGGATGGCCTGAACAAAGCTGGGGTTCTCTCAGCAAGGAAGAAAGGAGAAATGACAGTTGGACTGACCACCCACAGTGTCTGCCTCAGCTACATCATGGGTTTTGTCTTCTTTTCTTCAGAGAGGAAAGAAAATTAGTCTCTTCAAATAAATAAATGGATTTTTGCAAATTAATTCAAATCAATTTAAAGAATTCTCTAGTGGCAGGTTGGGAGAGGTTCTACAAAGATACAGTCATGTAGAGCTTGTAAGGCAGTTTTAAATGTTTTAGATTGTGCATTTATATCTCAACAGCCATGTGATATAGGTACTCTTACCACCCCATTTTACAGAGGAGAAACTGAGGCATAGTGATGTCAAGTAACTTGCAGGTGTGTAACTCCATCACAGAACTAACTAGGAAGCCAGGTGGCTGGGCTCCAGGCTGCTCTCTGAACCACATTTATAGGAGTTCCTTTCTCCTCCTGCCCTTCCCTCCTTCATGTTCTCTACATGTTAAGGCCAACTGTTAATATCCTAAGTCTTCCTTTCCCTTGATCATTCTCTTAGCCAACCAATCAGCTGATCTCCAGAACACGCTCCCTCCTGGGTCCAATCCATGCGATACCCAGCCGCTTCCTGTACTTTTCTTCTCATCACTCTCTGCCCCAACTCAGAACTTCCACACCCTCTGCCTGGATTTCAGTTGGAGCCTCTCCATCCATCTTATTTCTCATTTCTCGCCTCCACCACAGGAAGCTTCCTCAGTGATGGGGTTTCACTGTTCCTGCCTGTCTGTGGTGGCGCCCGGGGGTTCATGCGGTGGAAGGGACTTGGGTGCTGGAGTCAGACTGTTTTTAATCAGCTTTGCTGCTGTCCAGGTGACACTGGTCTTTAGGTTGCACTCTAGCAAATGTGGGTGAAGACTGCTGCCATGGGTGCGCTGGGGTTGAAGACTTCGCACGTCCTGCTCTCTCCCTCTTCCTCCCTCCTTGCCAGCTCACGCCTCCCCTCTCAGGCCTCGCATGGCTTTCCCCAGATCCACATGGCTCCCTGCCTCACCTCCTTCAAGTCTTTCCTGAAATGAGGCCTCCTTGGCCACCTCACTTAAATTGCAACCCCCTCCTCTCCCAGCATTCCCAAACCACTCTACCCTCCTCTCTTTTCCTCCATAACATGTACCACCTTCTAACTTGCTATATATTTAGTTATCTATTATGCCTGTCTGTCTCCTCCCTCTAGAGTGTCAGCTCCAGGTGGACATGGATTTTAGTCTATTTCATTCACTGATGGATCCTGAACATCTGGCACATAGTAGGCACTCAATAAATTGAATGAATGAATGGGAGTCAGTAGATTGCAATAGTTAAGAGAACTCTGGTAATCACCTTAGGTTGAAATCCCAGCTCTGCGGTTTCCCAACTGTGTGACAAAACTTCTTTATGCTTCAGTTTTCTTACTTGTAAAATTACACTAATAATGATACCTGAGAATAAACAAAAAAAAAAGATCTGATGCATAGAGCAGACTCACTAACTGTTCCTTCTGCTTCGAAATGCCACCTTTCCAGGCTTAGACAAAACCTGCCTCCTTCCGAGAAGTCCGTGATGAACACGCCCTGCCCTGGGAAGCTGGCCTGACTCTTCAGGTCCTGCCCTCACTGGTCCCCTTCCTCTGACCCCGTGGATGTCGACAGGCCCCACCAGGCTGTACACTGCATATTCTCAGCTGCATAATGAGTAGAACATCTAGCTGGCCTCCCCCTTAGATGGCAGGCTTTAGGGGACCAAGAAGTGTGTCTTACTGGATGCATATAAAGCATTCTCTAAATATTTGATGTGAGAAGGACTGAGCTATCGTGTTCTCACTTTCTCAGTTTGTTCATTCATTTGACACATATTTCTTAAGCTTTACCACCTGGCAGTCACTCTTCAAGGACGTTAACAAATCAGCATTGAACAAGAACAAAGTCCCCACCTTGTGGAGCTTACATTTTCTTGGGGACAGTGGTCATAAACAAGCAAGGGAATACTTTTCGTGTCAGGTAAGTGCTATGGGACAAGGGAGGGGTGTAAAGAGTGTTGGAGGGGGTACAGGGGAAAGATTGAGGAGACCCCACTAAACAAGGGGGAGCAAAAATCGTGGGGCCCTGGGGGAAGTTTCCAGTCCCAGGAGGGGCTGCAAGGAGCCAAACCCTGAGGTTGGAGTGTGCGTGGAATGTCCGAGAACAGCAGGGAGGCCAGGGCAGCTGTCAAGGAGAGAGGACCGGGTGATGTGCGCAGAAGGACAGCAGAAAATCCAATTCTACAGGGGTCCCTAAAGCCATTTTAAGGACTTTGTGTGTAACTTGAAGTTTGATGGAAAGTCAACCAACGATGCAAAATATTTTTGTTTGGTTTTAAAAACAAACCAGCTTTGTCCAACTTAGTTTACTGCAGGTTCCAAAAACACTTTTGAAATTGTAATTGCTATTACCCCTGTCTTTGGAGGGCTCTGAAGAGAAGAGTGGTAAGACTGCCTTCCTTGTGTAACTGGATCAGTCTAGCTGTTAAGAGGTGGAGAATTGACTGGACTCGGGGTGGGGGACCCAAGTGGAAGCAGAAAGTACAAGATGATGGTGGATGGGACAAAAGGGGCGATGGTGATGAGACATAGTTGAATTTTGGATGTACCATAAAGACAGAGACAATAGAATTTGCTGAGAGGTAGGATTAGATATTTTAAAACATAGGTTTTATTATTATGCAGGTATGGTGAGGCCACCAGATCAATAGACAAGTGCCACTGAAAAGATAGTTCATTACTCACAGTGCCCAAGAGGAAGGGGCACACCACCCATGTGGGGACCACACAGGGAAGCACCATGGTCAGTAAGTAGGCAGAGGGAGTAGGGGAAAATATGGGCAAGAGCCTTTATTGTGGTTTCTGGGGGGAGGAATGGGCGAGGCAAGGCAGGAAGGTTTAGGATTGGCTAGTTTGAATAATTTCAATAGCCTCTAGGGTGTAG